TTTCTGAATGTACAATAGCCTTATTCTTATTCTTATTCTGCACTACCTCAAAATTACTACCATATGCTGAAACCCATAATACTGATAAATATGCAGTTCTATTTTAATTTGCTATGTTTTAGTTACAATTTTCCAAAAACTATCAATTTCAATAGCAGCACAATCATCTTAATTTGCATAAAAACCAAAGCTAACTATAAAGAGCATTTGAACTAATTCCCTAAGAATCTCACAGTTTACCACTGTAGCTTGCATATAAGACCATCCCAAGGCAAGGTACAAGATAAAATTTTATAGAAGTTATAAACCAAATTTATTCAAATTAAGCCTCTGTCTCAACACTGTCTTCTACAATCTACCTCTACAGAGGAACCAAACTCTCAAGAACACAGTCCAACATCCCTACTGTAAGAAGGATCCTAGAAGCATGCTATCAAATGCAACAATGTTAAGGTCTTCTAATGCAAGTAACACTTATGGGTAAAGAATAAAGGAAAACCGGTTTAGTCTGTTTAGATTATCAGTTTGATCTGATAAGACCTGAAGCTACAGTATCATTTCATACTTAACTCTTAAGCAGTCTATAACAATATTTAAGCATTCATTCTGAATCAATAATCCTACATTTCTTGGTTAGCAGTTACCACTAGCACCAATATGATCACTAAGACCATGCAGCATTTCAGATTTAATTCCCAAAAGAAATTTGGGAGTGCAGATTAGTGCCTAACTGCAACATGTAATTAGGCTGTGCGGAGGAAATAAAACAGGTGCTAAATTCATGCTCTCATATACTCCGAAGCACTTTTTTGAGACTGAATGCAAAGTGCTGTACAACTCTAACAGTTAATGATGTCAAATGATCTCAAACAGGCACATAAGGAAGTGGAAAGTATACTATGGCACTGCAGCATCTGCACGGAATTAAAAAAACAACAACCAAATAACTCCCTAAATTGTACTGGGTTACACAGAGCTGTAGACTGAAGCCTAAAGATTTTATTCTTATGTAACTGAGCTCTCACAACTCCTACTAACACTATGTTTCCCAGGAATCCGTTAAGAAAAAAACAAGAACGATTATACTATACTAAAAAGTTTGGAATTGTATAACATGGAGTGCATGAAATAGCCCAAAAGTAAGATGTTTCATAACATCTACAAGGATTGTAGAATAGTTCGAGGTCAAGATTAGTATTGGTAGTATTTGATATAGTATTTAGTACCTTGTTTCCTCCAAAATAAGACATCCCCTGATAATAAGCCCAAGCGAGGTTTTGAGCGCATGGCAATAAGGCTTATTTCAGGGTTCAAAAAAATATAAGACAGGGTCTTATTTTCGGGGAAACACGGTAAATAAAATAGTATTGATGCATTATCCAAATCCATCCTGACTTAATATCAAATAATGTTGTGTGGTTTTTTTTTGTCATAAGCCATATATAGCATGCTCTATCATGCTGTTTCTCCCACAGAATTTTAAAAAATCACTGTCATCACTCTATAAAAAGTGAAGCTCACAAGGAAATGTGTATAATGTGTACTGTAAGCTAATTCAAATTTTTAAAATCTTCCAGACTTATTCCCCAAACAATTGAATGCTACCTAGCAGTTTTTAGGGGAGATGTATCTGAGGAAACAAACATCTTGTGTAACTCAACTGCATCTCAACAGTAACAGGACTGTAACAGCTATTTCATTACTAAGTATATAGTAGAACCAATAGATAGGAGGCAAATTCTGTGATGATCTTATACTTCCTTAAAAAAACACCAATGTCTCTGAGAATAATTAATTATTTTATGTAGTTTCTCCAAAATCATAATTGGGGTCTGAAAGGTCTTAAGGAAGTAACTTGGCAGCAAATAATTCTTATATCAAATATTTCAATGAAAATAATATGTTTCAATGCAAGTTATGTAATAGTTGTTCAGTGATAGTAATATTCATTACTTAGACAGTAATGTAGTTCATGTACTTAGACAATTAAAAATATCTGGATCCCAAATCTAGAATTAAATGTAAAATCATAGCTTTCTAGAAAGTTCAAATTCAGTAATAGTTACATAAATCTTACCTCCTCTTTAAAATCCAATCAATATATTGATAGACACAGCAAAGGAGAGGCTATTCCAATTACAGTCATAATCATTTTATTATTAAACATATTTCATTTTCATTAAAATCAGCATATTTTGAGCATCAAAACATTGAAAGTATTCATGGAAAAAAATCAAAGCAGCATCACATAGAAATTATGTATCATAGTTTAAAATTATTAAATGTATCACAATACTTTATATCAGTTGTTCAGGATAAAAACCAAAAAAAGGATAATATAAATATACTATTTATTTTTCCTAAATGCATACGAATAGCTCAATGTGATATGGATTTGACAGTCTTTGTGTTCATCAACTTCAAGTTGTATGTTGTATCCTACAATTAATAACTTGCAATATTAGGCATATGTTTAAAGATCATGACAATTATAGCCAAGTAACCTATGCTCTAGGGCTTCTGATATAAATCTTAATTACTAACAAAGTACACAAATAGCTTTAATAAATATTTCAAGGAGAGGGGAAAAAATGACTCCATCTACTCTCTTTTCTTAGATTGATCAGATTGACTGGATTGAAATATTATATGAATTCATATACCCAACTACTGTTTCTGTAGCAACAGCACATTCTTTACCCACTATGTCACTAAACAATATACTGCAAGAAGCAATTGGTTTTCTTATAAGATTTTTCATTTATATACAAGACATTCTTAGAAATGTTTCTCTAACTTTGGTGAAATGTAAATAGATTATCTGCCAAAATAATTTAGTGTCCAAGGGATTATATGGAAAGAAGCTGTTAGAAGCTTTTAGGTTTGATATTCTGAAAAAGAAGAACAAGGCCTAGGTTATAAGAGTGATTCTGTTGCCTATGGAATTTTGTGAAGTTTTATTCTTACATATTTCAAGCCAACAAACCATTATAACATCGTTTTATAAGAAACAATTCTATAGTTGATGTTATTTAGATACAGGTATTTTGCTAAATTCAACCTTCTGAAGTTAAAGCTAATTACATAATATACGATTGTTACCCCATATTGTCACTACTCCCAATATTTTCCCCTTATTTTCCTACTGTAAATGAGCATTTATATTTTTTCAGAGTTTCTCAATATATACATGTTTTCAGTCATTTTTTGAATACTGCAAAAATTATTGCTAAATTTATTTTAAAAATATGACCCACAATGATAATTTCAGTGATTTTTCAAGTTCAACATTTAGGTTTTTTAAAATTATATTTACTCAAAAGTAAACCTTATTTACTAGATCTTTTGACTTTCTAAACCATGTTATTTGTTTTTGACTTGGGAATGTGCAAAATTCATATTAAAATCCTGGTTTAGTGTAATATGTGAAATGAATTTTTGTGGGTCTCCATCACTACTTAAAACTTAGAATAGCAGTGTAAGACGGGTTTTTTTTTTTGTATTTATATAACTCCATTCTACAGCAACACAATCAAGAGAAATTCTAGAAAATAAATAGGAAAATCAGAGAAAATATTGAGATCTTTCTAGCAGCTCACTTAAAAGGTAAGGTCTCAATCGAACTTTTCAATTTTCATTTCTGCAAAAATAAAAAAAATTAAAACAGCAAGGATGTAAATCTGTTGGCCTAAATTTCAGTTTGCTTGGAAGAGATCTGGGACATGTACACTAAGCTTACTGAATAAGTACTGAAGTCTTATTTACTCCCTGCAACTTTTATCATCACTACAGTAACGTATGCCTAACTTTATAATAAAGCTAATATGAATATATTGTATTGTTTGTATGGGTTTCCATATGAGTATTAAAAACTTGTAAGGTATATTTAAAGGTACTTATCTTTAAGTATCATCTCTCTGATAATTGTTTTTGCTATCAATCTTTTAGAAACAACTTAGAATTCCTAATTGGCTTGAACTGCTTCTCTGTCAATAGTTAAAAAATAAGAGTAGATCTTGATTGAAATTAATAAAATACAAATATAAACAAAGTACATAGGAAAACCTCAAATCTTACTGTCAAAAAGCAACTGAAGAATCTAAATATGGTACTGTATCCTAAGGGATATTTTACCAGAAAGCTAAAATGGTTACAAGTTTACTAATATGAGGGAGTTTCAAATTTACTACTATCACTTATTTAAAATCCACTATAACTTTGTCAGAATTATTATCCAAAACCAAGATTAGCCATTTTTCTCTTTTAAGCAAACTTCAGCCTGTTCAATCGCTTAGTGATCGCCATTTCACAGCAGTCAGCCCACACAGAACAGATCAATAACATTACAGACACAAGACTAGACTGCATCCATTTAATAACCACAAGAGAAGTGTACCATTCAGCAGAATCTTACACAGGGCTCTCACTACCAGATATGTAATAAGAAATCATAACTATGTATATCAATTCATTAATAATTTTCTATTAAAACTCAGAACTGTTCTGGAAATGAAATAAAAACAGATCATATATTACATTCTAAATAATGAAGAGACAACCCTGATGATTATATCCTTGAATAGCTTTGTCCAGAAAACAGTAAGTCTAACTACTAGTTGCTATCCAGGAAAGTACTTCCCTGAAACTACAAATTTATTTAAAATGCAGATTTTCTGCTGCACAACTCAGGGTTTATTACTATATTCACTCCCCAATATTAAGAGGCCTTTAAAAATTCTAAACCCAAATGAAACTATTCCAATACACATTTTCATAGTTCATTTAAAATTTTATAAATATAAAAAAATCTTTTAATTACTATAAACCTGAAAACATTTTGTATAATGCTCCGAATTACTCAACTCCGAAGTAATACTCAACTTTATTATATTTCTGGAATAATAATAACTGTTGAAAACAGTATGAAAAATGTAAATATGCATTTGAATCTAGTTATATTGTTATATTATGAACTAATAGTGAAAAAAGCATATACTTGCCTGAAGAACAAGATATAAGAAAAACAGCAAACACCAGCTTTGTAGCAGCTCCCATTTTCTCAATTGTTAGAATCAATAGGGGGGAAAATGCTATATCCAGCTTTTGAGATCTTACAAACACGAAAATCCGTCTGTCACTTCCTCAAAGTGATGATAATGTATTTGGAAAATAATGCATCCATAAGAATGAAATCCAGCTTCTATAATATAGTCTCTCTAGCTCCTATTCAACAGACCTTCCAGTACATTTGGAAACACATCATTTGGCTTCTGTTCTAACAATGGCAAAAAATCCAATTCATAAGAGGATGTTAACTCTCCAGATTAAAAGATGAACATTCAACAATGAAGTAGCTGAATGTTAAAACTAATAGTTGTCCTGAAGCACAATATATTTTCTTCAGTGTCAAATCGTATTTCCCATGTGCCCTGGAAACAGGCAAGACGCACAAATATTAGTAAACAATACTCTTGTCTTCACACTGCTTTTACACAATGTAGTATATGGATGAGAAAGTTTCGTCTTCGTTTCAAGTGTCAAAATAAATATGACTTCGATGTAACAACCAATAGGAAACCAATTTGTAAAACACTGGTGTTTCCTATTAACAAATGCTCAGAGCAAACAAGAGAGCAGAAATAAGAGGTATTCAGTCCTCTGTAAAATCACACATGTAAGGAATGGCGAGTCCTTCTCTAGAGACTAGGAAAATGCTTCCCCTTGTTTATTCCATCCGTTTGTTTTCACGATCTTTTTCTCATTTGCCCGACAGATTTCAGGCTTCTCCCCAACTCCTACAAGAACTCCTCCATTATTCAAGTGCCCAGATTACATTTAAAAACCGCCTTTGTATTTGGTATTTTGAAATCGCACGAAAATGAGGGAGGGTGGGTGGGAAGGAGGCGAAGCTCTTTCCAGATGTTAAAAGGTGATTTTTCTTTTCACAGTCCTAAAAAATAAATCTATTTTAAAAAAAAGACTCGAGACCCTTCCGAGAGGTTTCCTGAAGCAGTTAAGCATAAAAACGTCTCAAATATAAAAGCAGGCGAAGGAAGCGAATGCTCTAAGAAGCTCGGAGATCAAATAAGGGTATATCGGTCTTTTTGGAGCGACCAAGTTGGTGGGTTAAATAAGACCTTCTCTCCACAAGCAACAAAACCCTCTTCAAGCTCGTCGAGGCGTTTGTCGGCGGGCCCTCCCTCCGCTCTCAACCTTCAGCGGCTCACCGTTTACCACCAAGGTTTCTCCCCCTCCCCACCATCACCCTTCCCCCGGTTTGGAGGCAGGCGGGTTTTTGTTTTTTTTCCCCTTCGTCCGCGGTCCAACTTGGTTTTTGTTTGCTTCTCCTCCCTTTTTCCTTCTTCTCCTCTTCCTCCTCCTCCTCCTCCCTTTTCTTCACGCCAGCAGCGAGTGGATGAGAATGGGGCGGGTGAGGGCACGTAGCCCGGTCAATCCTCGCTCGCCTTTTCCCCTCTCCCCTCGTTGTGCCTCCTATGCAGCGTAGACCAGACCAGACCAGCCCGTGCAGCGAGAACAACGGAGGGAGGAAAGGCGGGCAGGCGGTCGAGGAGCCCCTCGCCTTTTCTCCTCCTCCTCCTCCTCCTAACTCTTCCTCCCAGACTGCGAAAAGCCTGAGGCTCCGAGGTCCAGCCCTTCGGTCTCTTGGCTGGCGAAGGCGTCGGAGATCAGGCGGCTAAGCCCAACTTTGAGCTCTGGGTAGCGAAGTTGAAGAGCCGACGGCGAAAAAGAGGAAGGGCCCTGCCGAGATTTTCTTCCCTGGAAGAGGCGGCGGCGGAAACCGAAGGCGAACAGAAGGAAAGGGAAAGCGCCGCTTTTATCGTCGTGCAGGCCAGGCTGGTAGCGCTGAGTAGCCCTCCGTACCTTGCCGCTCCCCTGTGGTAATTTCATAGCTACCCATTCACTTGCGTGGTGGAGAGAAGCGAGCCAAGATGGCGGGGCTCGAGCGATTGTTTTTGTTTCTTCTCCACCTCCCCCCTCCCTCCCTCCCTCTTTTTTTTTTTTTTTTTAATCTGTCCCCACTCCCCCCAAACAGCTTCCTCCTAGCGCACGCGCGGACTCACTCGCTCCCTCCCTCCTCCTCCTCCCTCCGCTCATCTTAACCGCTGCCCCTTCCACACATGGGGCGTGCGCGTTTGTGGGCGGATAATTTCTCCTGATTGGCAGGCTGCGCTAAGCCATTTGGAACAAGGAGAGGGGCCGAAGGGTGGGTGGGGCCTCGCTCCCGCCTTTCCCGTGCCTCGCGGGGTTTAAGGGACGCGATTCTCCCGCCTGTGCGACGTTCCAGGTGTGGTGGAAGGCGCGCGCGGTTGGGGTGGGGAGGGCGGTGTTGTGGAGCGCGCAGCTGAGCCGCTCGGTTTTCTGCGCAGTGCAAAAAAATCCCGTAATTGGAACTCCTTTGGATCTTTCCCGTCAGAGCAACAAAGCTGCATATTTTAGCCTTAAGAGCAGAGCGCTCTTAAAAGGTGTATGTGTATGTATGCATACGCGCGCACTCGCACAATACACATGCGCATGAGTGCGTCTCTGTGTACATATGTGTTTATGCACACAGACATGCATGTGATAAGTATGCATTTTTAGTCTTGCTGGGGGGAATCTGGTGAGGGGGGGGAATTACTCCTCGCGCTTCCTTAGCCCATCGTGGGGATTCTCAAATCATCAAGGTCGTGGGTTGTCTCAAAAAGTGCTTTTTTTTCCCCCAAAAGGCAACTGGACTTACTTGATTTAAAAAAAAACACAATTTATAGCTTCTCATCCAAGAGGCTTCTTCCGTTCCACTAAGAAAGGCCAATTTGCCTTTTGAAGAAAAAAAGAAAAGCACCTTTGGGACCACTTCCTTAGAAGTACGTCTTTGAGTTCCTTTGGGAGTTTTGAGGTTTTTTTTTTATTCTTGCGAGAAGTCCTCCCAACCTCAGGACTGGTTATCTTCCAACCGAAAAGATAAGAGAACAGTTGGGTTATTGGATGCTACTTCATTTGACTCAGTTAACTGGAGATGAAAACATGCTTGTCTGTTGACATTATTAGAACTATGAAATATGTCTGTATCAAAAGCGCTGCGTATTCTCAGGATCCCGATTTGGAGATGTTTTAGATTCCAGCAGAGCTTTTATTTTGGCACAGCTGATGGTGTTGGGGATATTCAGTGTTTTAAAAACCTTGAGATTACAGTATGAATGGACAGCAGATGTACCTTTGGATTTAGCCAGAACTCCTATTAGGTGCTTAAATCTGCTTGTAGGAGGAAAGTTTGTTTTGTTTCAGAAATCGTTAACTTCAGAATATTGTGGGTTTATTAATGCAAGTGCTACAATATGAATGAATGTCCCAAGTAACTGATGGACCCAGGCCTGTTACAGATTACTATTCTTCCTTAACCTGTATCCTATCAGAATTCAAAGCTTATAGTTTTGAAAAGTGTTAAAATTTGTTACACTTTTTAGTAGGCAATAAGAGCATAATTTCATGAGTGGTTTTTTAACTCATTGAAACTGAAACTGAATAAAAATATCCAGTAGGCCATTGTTTGATAATATGCCTATTAAATTAGAATAATTGTGTTCAACCCCAAGAGTGATGGGATTGGATGGTAGCTTTTTGCTATAGAAGTTCAATAACACTGTTTAGAGAACCTTTTCAGGTATTTTGAAAAGATGATAATCTGTGACCAAACTTCTGTTTGCACTTGGTATGTAATTAACAAGTACAAAACAGAGTTGGCTCTAATAACCTCTCATTTGAAAAGTCAGAATCTGTTCATTAACTTCCTTATATGATTAAGGATCAGAATGTTTCCTTCCCACTATTACATGCATTAAATCTATTTTTTCTTTATGATTTGAACTAAGATAAAAATGATACCTTTTCCCCTAGTAACCATAAACTCAATCATTATTAAATTGATTTTTTTTCAGCAACAACAAAAAGTAATCAAGAAAAGCAGGAAAAAATGAAGTTACAGAGCAAGATCAGTTTGTCTGATTTGTAATGTCCTACCTTTAAGAGTAAAAGAAGGACTCTCTTAATTTCTTTTTCAGTATTTTGTGTGATTGTAGCTCTTATGTCTATATCTTCATATCAGGGTATTACATCATGGAGTAAGCCTCAATAAATAGAAATAAATCCCAGGACAGATGTTTTCATTCTGAATATAAAGGGGCTTGAGATGTTATGCAATCTTAAGGGAGCTAAATGTATGATCCTACAGTCTTTTTATAAACAAATTGCCCTTCTGGGACATGGCATCTGAATTTGGCTTTTAAAGCTATGCCTAGGCTTTTGAACTGCATTTTGAGAAACTGGCACATAGATATTTCAAATCATTTTACAAGTGCTCTTAAGAAAAAAAAATCAACCAATATACAGTCAATATTTCTAACCACTTTTACACTATTAGCACCTCTGAATATCTAAGATTATAATGTTGTTGTGACAATGGACTGAGAGATCTATTCCAAACAAGAAGTGACAGAAAAGATAAGGCTTCCTGAATTTGAAATGTGAACCCCCAATTATCTTCCTCAATAGCAGGACGAGTTACTTTAGATTTTGTCTTCAACTTTGTATTAGTGTTGAAAGTTTATGAGTCTTTATTGAACCTTTTGTTTTTAAGACCATTACTTGAAAAATGATGATAGCCTTTTCCAGCTAAATAATGACAAATGAAAAGCCCATTACTTCTGCACTTTGCTGCAGATGCAATAAATAATACCAACAAGAAATGTTCTTGTTGGTATTAGTCACAACAGTACTTTTGAGAGTTATATTTTATATGAAGGCATATGGAAACTACTGAAACTCTAAGTAATATGAGTTATTAATTGGGTGAATAATGCAAATAATAAAATCAGGTGGAATAGCCATTTCATATAATTCCTTTAAACTGCTTTCCATGTGTTAGTGTTGTAAAAAGTTAGCACCCACTCCTCTCCTAGAAGAATGAAATATTCTAAAGGTAAAGGTTCTCCTTGCACATATGTGCTAGTCATTCCTGACTAGAAATATTCTAGGAAATAGTAAAAAGGCAAAATACTATATTTCCCTGGATGAGAAAAGGAGAAACATGTTTTTAAAGACAAAGATCAGCTCCCTGCCCCCAGCAGATATTTGGTGCCCATTGTATCTACAAAACAAAAGACCTCAGCTCGAGGATGATGGGATTAAGACATGACCCTTCAGGACATAATAGGATTATCAGCAGAGCTCACCACATGGCACAACCAAGCCCCTTCATTGCATCACCCAGCAAGGTTCAACCAAACTTACCTCAGACAACCTCAGCTATGACCCCTGCATAGCCCCCTGGGAGTCTGATAACCAATAGAATACATTTCTTGCACAGGAACAGGAAGCTCAGAGGCAAGACCCAAGAGGTGGTATAAATACCTCTCCTCCATGTGTTCAGCTGCCCAGGACCTCAAACCCATGTGGTCCTCTCCATCAATAAACCATCTTTCCAATCAGCCTCCATGTTTCCAATGTCTTTCTCCTCATTTGGAACTGAACCAGATGGATATTTCTTCCAACAGTGTGAAGTACGTATCCACACTGAACAGTGGTTGATGTCCTGAGTTTAAAGATGCAACCACACAAAATGCTAATTATTTTCAGCTGACTTTCACTTTTCCTGGTGCGTTCATTTTTTATCATAGAACACACAGTACAGTATTTCAGAGATAGTGCGTCAGAAAATTAATTTTAATTCAAAAGGCTTTTGACAATCTTTCATGGAAGCTGCAACACAAATATATACTTGACCAAAAAAATAACCAAACAGTGGTTTGCACTGCAACAATGAGATTTAATTGCAATTTCCATAGGCATTGTAGGATGGGAGCACATTACAAACTATGCACCATGAAAAGAAAACCGCAATTTATGTATTTGGTCAGACACTGAGGTGCAAGTATGTAACAGAAAGATTGTATCATGCTGTCATCATAACATATATCATCTTGACACTTGCATTTGCTTTGGGTATCTATAAACTTATGTATCATTTTAAAAAATCCCTTTTCTCCTTTGACAAAATAATGTTCCTAACTGACCTTATGAAAACAGAATATAATCTACCATTACTGGGTGGTTTTTAATAATATATATACTGTATATATACTTGCTTCCAAAGTATTGACATATGTTGAAAGACCTTTAGAAGCTCTGGATAGTGAGGTATAATGGAGGAAAAGGGTGGCAGCACTAAAGAATATCTCTGGAGGAAAAGTCTGTGTAAAAAAGGGAAGGATTGAAAGTATGTAGGATGATGTTACATATATTGTATATATTTAGACTTGTCAGGACTAGTTCAAAACAAGAACTTTTAAAAATGCAAACATGAAATGCTACACGTTTATTGCAATTAAGGTAATTTAAATATAAGTTTGCATTCACATTTGCAAACTTGTCACAAGATTTCAAATATTAGGGATTTGGGCATAGCAGTCCTATTTCTCTTATCAGAGTATTCCAAATTTGGAATACAACCACATTTCCAAAATCTATCTCTCATACACAAAAAACCTCAGCTCCTGTTATTTGCAATTGGAATTTTTTAGTGTAGTGTTTAAAGTGTTTAGTGAAGAATTGGGTCAGTAATAGGAATATTTCAAGGAATATTTTTTTCCTTGTTCTTTTTCCTTTCTTGTTCTGAAGTTGGTCTACCTTTATGTCTCAATTCTGGGTTTTGCTACAAAAATTTGCTTGAAGGCTTTTAACTTTATTACACTGTAAATATTGCATCCTGTACCTGAGGTAGTGAAAATCAAAATGTCAAGCAATTGATAGGCTTTTTTTCGCATTTTATCACTATTAAATCTGTCTTTGGAATGTGCTAATATAAAATGGGACTTCTATCTTGTTGTGCTGTTTACAGCCCCTAATCGTAAGCACTAGCATGTCTTAAAGACACAATAATATTTTAATCCACAATCCGTGCTCAGAACAAATGTACACATCAAACACTGGTCATTCCTTCTGAACTAAAATGTGTATAATAAATTAAGAAATTATTCTGCAATCCCAGGTCTCTCAAGTTTAAAAAGCTGTACCTTCACCTTGCTTTCTTTTGACTTGGAATATTTGACATTTTGTAATATAGTTACGCTGTACAGAAAATAATAGAATGTACTGAAATACTTTGGCAACTGCTGTTTCTGCTGGCTAATTTGACTTGACTTATAAATATTAATTAAGTCTTGCAACACCTTGTTTAACCTGCAGTTTTAATATAATTTATCCCAACATGTTCTACCAGTTTATGTACAACTACATCAGGTCCAGCTACTTCTGAATAACCATCACATGGTTAAAATTACAGACAGATTTATCAGTTATTATCAATCCCAGCTATGCTCTAAACTTATTAACTTCAACTCTTATACTTTCCAAGTAGTATGGAAATTCTGGGCGATCTTTAACATGCATGGTAAGAACATGGCTTACACTGATCAGGATTTTTTTAAAAAAAACACTTGGAAGATAACATATTGAAGCCTCAGCTGCCATATATGATTTTTGCCGTATAGTATTTTGATCCCTTTAATGTCTGTTTGGTACACGTATATTAAAAAAGAAGTGAAGATGCAGTTTTAAAATAGATATAATATATTTGAATTATACTGAAACAGACTTACTCTGGACCTTAAAAATGCAAAATATGGCTTTTTCACAATTCATTCTTGTAAATAAAGTTTTTTAGTTTCTTTGTGTTCAAGGCACGACTAGAACTCACCATCTTCCAGTTTCTAACCTGATGCCTTAACCACTACACCAAACTGACTGTCATATATATAAAATACTTTCAGTAAATTAAAACATACTCATTTTTTTTTATTGGAAATACTTCCTTTAGCAATAGGTAAATATTTTGATTAAAGATTGAATTAGTTAGTTAGTTAGTTTATTATATTTGTATACCGCCCTTCTCCCGAGGGACTCAGGGCGGTGAACAGCCATGGTAAAAACAACGTACAACAAAAATTAAAAGCTTATTAAAATAATTCAATCATTCAGCCAAATTTAAAACATCCAACTAAGATCATTTTAAATCCCCTATCAAAACCCAATTTAAAAAACCTTTATCCTGTCAGTCCAGCTTGCTGGAATAATAGGGTCTTCAGAGCGCGACGGAAGGCACAGAGGTCGGGGATCCTTCATATGTCCAGGGGCAGATCATTCCATAGGGCCGGGGCCCCCACAGAGAAGGCTCTCCCCTGGGGGTCGCCAGCCTGCACTGTTTGGCTGACGGCACCCTGAGGAGGCCCTCTCTGTGGGAGCGTATTGGTTGGTGGGAGGTAATCGGTGGCAGAATGCGGTCCTGTAGATAACCAGGTCCTAAGCCATGGAATGCTTTAAAGGTGGTAACCAACACCTTGAAGCGCATCCGGGAGACCACCGGGAATTCTAAGCAGTTATGTAAATGATTGTGCAATAAGGATTTCCTGTATGTCACGGCAGCGGCATACGATGAATTATATGCCATTCACATTTATATAGTAATAAGGTATTAAATTCTTGCTTATTTTCATTGTCTCCAATAGGAAATGGTTTTTTCTGTCTTAATATATTTTTCCACATGAGCATCTTGATTTTTTTTTTCTCACATTCCAGCTATTCCTGTCTCTGAAAGATGCTGGAACATAGATCATATAACCAGTGATTGGATGCAAGAATGTCTGCATTTTCTGTTCATATGTACAGTATGTCAGTCTGTAGATGTAGACATAATTTTCCATTATTAGAATAAATCTACCCAAATCCAAGGAACTAAATTTTAAAATCAAAATGTAAACTACTGGTTTTGTTTGATGAACGAACAGGCACAGTGAATTCTTTCACAAACCAGTTATCATGTAAGGTAAACTTGCTCGCTACTGTATGGCCATAGCAGATATTGTCAGATGCCTGGAAGAGTATCTGTCGGATAGTATTTCATGGCCATAAAGAGAAGTTACTCAGTGCCAACTACTATTTTGTAGTTGTTCACAAAATATTATGCAACTCTGAGTCAAGTTGTAGTCAGTCTTTC